ACAGATGTTAGCTCAATCTTGCTCACCAAAAAAACCAGGAAACCACTGAGTTTTCAGATGATCTAAATAATTCCACTACTACTTATATACCCAAGAGAATTGAAAACTTGCGTCCACACGAAAACTTTTACATGAATGTTTATAGCAGCACTGTTTATAATAGTCCCAGAGTGGAAACAACCTAAATGTACATCAACTGATTAATTAATAAAGAAAATATGGTGTATCCATACAATGGACTATTATTCTGCCATAAAAAATTAATGAAGTATCAATTTATGCTACAATATGTTCGAAGCTTGAAAACATTATGCTAAGTCAAAAAGCTAGACACAAAAAGCTACATAATGTATGATTCCATTTATGAAGTATTCAGAATAGACAAATCCATAGAGAAAGAAAGTAGATTAGTTCTGCCAGTGTCTAGGGGCAGGTGAGAATGGGAAGTGATTGCAAAGAGGTATAGCACTTGTTTTCAGGGATGAAAATGTTCTGGAATTTGACAGTAGTGATGATTGTGCAGTTTTGTGAATAGGCTGAAAAACACCAAATTGTACACTTTTAAAAAGCTGAAAGTTTAAATTTTAATTTTATGATGTGAAAATTCTATCACAATAAAAATGTATAGCATTTGGACTACTTGCTAAGTTATATATTTTGAAAAATTGATCCTATGCTGTACCATGACACATTTCACCAAATTTCAAAGGATGTAATCATTCAAAATGTGCTCTACTCTTAATTCAGAAATAAAACAAATAGATAACTAGAAAAGTTCACTAAGTTTGGAAATTAAGAAAAATACTTCTAAAAACCAATGAATTAAGACTAAATCACAGTGGAAATATATTTTGAAAATACTAATTATAAATCCAAACTTGATTGTCACTTAAGTCATAATGCTTGGAGGAAAATTTAGTAGCTACAAATGGAAAAACAGAAGAGATGAAATCAAAAAGCTCATCATACTTCATCGCATTAGAAAAGAATAACAACTTAAATAAAATAATCCAAAGGAAAAATAATGAAAGCAGAATTCGGTGTATAGAAAACAATCCAACAGTGGGTGTGATCAGCAGAATCACAAGACGGCTTTGGAAAACAGTAACAAAATTGGTACAAGTCTGGAGCAATCTATATAGAACAGAGAGGGAGAGAAAGCAAACACATGTTATCACATTAAATATGAGAAAGATGAGATGGCTACAGATGCTGATATGAAACTATTATGAGACTATTATGAACTACTATATATCAATGTTTGAATATTTAGATAAAATGGACTCTTCCCAGAAAAGCAAAATCTTAGAAAATCTTCATAAAAAGATATAGAAAATGTAAAAATTTTATGTCTATAAGAGAAACCAAATTCATAATTTACAATCTTCCCACAAAGGCCCATTTGATTTGGTAATTTGTAAATTCCACTAAACATTGAAGAAAGACATATATCAATCCTACACAAACACGTCTAAAGAATAGGGGAGAAAATCTAAACTTCTTTAATTAGCCTTTATACTGAAACCTGACAAGGCTAGTACAAGAAGAAAAATTACTGGCCAGTCATATGCAAATTATAAACATATTTTCAAAATTGTAACAATATGTTAGTCTACTGAATCCAAAAATATATAGAAAGGGCTATTTATCGCAACCAGGTTTAGTTTATTCCAGAACTGTAAGGTTAGTTTAACATTCAAAATTTGTTGATATATTTCACCATATTTTCAGAATAAATGAAAAACATCATATAATCATTTTTTCAGAAACCCTTAGTTTTTCTGTTCAATGAGCTCAGATACGGTATCATTTCTTTAACTGTTACTGAGGTCTCAGAGCTCTGTGGAAGAACTATAATAAAAACATGTCAACTCTTGAGGACCTTCTCCAGGAAAACCTGCTAACAGCAGGACCTTTTGCATCATATCCTATAGATCAATCTGACATCGCTTTTCCAGCTGTCCCTCCTGAGATCTCTCTGAAGCTACAAAGAAAAGGAAGCAATAATTCTGTTATGGCTATCAGAATTATTGAAATGGAATCACATGGTTTTCTACACTTGCCGTGGCAAAAGTATGCCTCTTGGCTTCTTAAAACGTTGTTAGAAAAGGAGTGAAAAGTTTTCTGTGTGTGACTGGACTGCAATTCAAAGACGATATCTCCCCACTTTGAATTCCCATCTGAGGCAGTTACTTGAGGAGAAGAGAGCCAACCCCACGTCAAATAAAATCTTCTTATTGAATGACCACTCACTCCCAGACTGTTTATTTTTTGCTAGTCAAACACAATTTAAAAGTTACGGTAATACTGTAGGCACACCACAAACTGCTTCCTAATTTCAATTTAGCTGTGCATTCTTTTCTCTGGTATGAATTGATTTATGTTCTAAATTATTAAATGCAACAGCATGATCTGGGTAATCTGAGCTTGGTGTAAAAAAAGTGAATATTAATCCTAACATCTATTGTAATAAAGATATTCTTATACTTTTGCACCCATAAAATTGAGGAAAAATCCATACCATTCTGGATTGTGCCTTATGTTAATGAAAAACAAAAGCAGAAACCATATTTACAACTTACAATGAGGTAATTACCCATTTTCCACCCTTTTATTGAGATAGACAGACCTTAGCTAAAATCCTGGCAATGTACTTGTTCAATTTTCCTGGAGCATCAATTTCTCATTTGTATAATTGTTGCAAGAATACCCATTTTGTAGAAATTATGTGAGGATTGTGTGAGATAACATGAAACTTGACTGAGTGGTGCCTAGCATTTAATACGTCCAGTCAAAGTTGAATTTCTTTGACTTTTTTCTTGTACCAGACAATTTCATTTCCGTGTCTCGATCACAGACTTGGAAGAGAGAGCTCCTTAATCCATCTCTTCTAACTGGACCAGAGATATAGCCTTATTCTAATGTAAACAAATTTGAAGGTTTGGGCAAACCAACTATCTTTTCTCTGTCATAAATACTGGGGCCAACTGGTCTTTTCCTGAATTACAAGATTATGTAAACTTGGTCTGGTGTCTCCCACGTTAGGTCTCATACAAAACCAGGCCGTGGAAGCAGGGAGCTGATGATGTAACGGAAGCAGACGCAGGTGTATGAGTGGATTGCAGAGGTCCCAGTGTACAAAGCTAGCACCATTGTTTCCCCGTATTTCTGATCTCACGTTTAATTCTCACTGTGCCACGTCTTTAGAGTCTGCTGTATTATTTTGTTTGTCCTTTTGAGGCATACATCTTTTTTGCCTTAGCTGGCTGGAATGTGTTCTAATCATTACAATCCAATGAGTTTGAGTTATAAACGACTCCACTGCTATTTATTTTTTTTTACTTTTTTTAATTTAATTTTATTTTTTTCTGCTTTATCTCCCCAAGCCCCCCTGTACACAGTTGTATATCTTAGTTGCAGGGCCTTCCAGTTGTGGGATGTGGGACGCCACCTCAACATGGCCTGACGAGCAGTGCCATGTCGGCGCCCAGGATCCGAACCCTGGGCTGCCGCAGCAGAGCGCATGAACTTAACCACTCGGCCATGGAGCCAGCCCCTCCACTGCTATTTAAATTCAGTAATTTAGAGCAACTTTTGTTAGTTTTAAAGATATTAAGTTATATCATATTTTTATTAATACTGAGTTTTAAGTAGACTGTAAAATTGGTTAACAGGTTTACTGATAGCAAACACTCTGCCTTGAAAGTGTCATCTTTACCTTAAAAATATTAGTGGATTCATCATATATTCCAATATTGAAGAAAAAGAGAATACAAAGATTATATAATCCTAAGAAGGAAAAATGATCAAAAAAGCTTGTCCAATAATTGAATAGGTTGTGCATGAAATAGCGTGGTCCTAAATTTTATTACATATTAATATATGAGGCTGGCCCGTGGCTGAGTGGTTAAATTTCCATGCTCCATGTCAGCGGCCCAGGGTTTTCCCTGTTTGGATCCTGGGCATGGACCTAGCACCACTTATCAGGCCATGCTGAGGCGGCGTCCCACATAGCACAACCAGAAAGACGTACAACCAGAATATGCAACTATCTCCTGGGGGGGTTGGGGGAGAAGAAGAAGAAGAAAAAGAGAAGATTGGCAACAGGTGTTAGCTCAGGTGCCAATCTTAAAAAAAAAAATATTATGAATATATTATTTAGAGTGCTTTTGGCACAACTGAAAAAAAGAAGACCTAATTAAAAGGATAAATTTATTATGTAAGAAGGGGCAAACCGTTCAATGATGTCAGTGATGTCAGCAAAGATTCTGGCTCTTCTGTCTTTTCACTCAGCTGTCCTCAGTGTGTTGGCAGTACTCCTTAGTCTTGTCTTCTCATGCATCCAAAATGCTGTTGCAGGCTTTGTAATCCAACACAACCTTGTCCAAGAGACAAAGGGCAATTGCCCATCCTAGATTGTTTTTAAATCCTGTAATCTACATCTCCCCAAAAGTCCCCCAGCACACTTCCTCTTACACCCCATTGGTAAAGTTTCTGGTGTGCTCTATTGTCTAAGCAGAATTATGAATATGTCTCTTTTATTCTAAAATGTGCCCCCATTTGGATGATAAATTATGACTTCCTTAGGTTTGGTCACATGCCTGTGCCTTAGGAGCATGACATACCAGAAAAAAAGCAAATATCTAGTATTTTTAGCCTCCATCATGGAAAGTGATTCTGGCAAGGAATAAGGTAATGGCATTGGGGTAGGCAGCTAAGAATGTCTGCCACATGTTAAGCACTAAACAATTTCCAATTTCTGATTACGAAGTTAGCCATTGTGCAAATTAGATTGAATAATTTATGCTAAAATTCTCTGTGATCATCTGGGTGTTCATGAATGTGAATTTAGGAAGCAGCAGCAATGAGTCAATTTTATTATTAGGGAATCCAATTTTGTCTTCTTTCTCAAAATATTGATAAAGGTAAGATTAACAACCTCCACTTCTTGCTTATTTTTTATTATATTTGATATTATATTTTCTTTGTCTTTCCTCTAGAATTAGACCCAGTGACCAAGCAACTTATGCTCCAAACAGCTCAGCCAACTTTCGGCCATCTGACAGATGTAAGTAAAATGTTTAGGTGAAAATAAATATCACTATTCGTGGTCATTAATGCAAGCATTTATTATGTTTTAGTGTTTAGTAGCCTTGCTACTAAAATGACTATAATATTATCCACCTTCTAGAAAATAATTGAGTAAGGTATTTTTAAAAGTTCTTACAATGATCCAACCACCAGCTTATATGTTTCACTGTTACTTATGGTAATATTTTTGGTAACATGGAAATTTATAACAGACTATGAAAACTTTTGTAGCCTCTCTCAACAAAAGTATGATGTATAATGAGACTTACATACAAGGAGTTTTCTTCTAGGAATTTCCCTCTGGGGGTTTCATAGTTTCAGATCTTACATTTAAGTCTTTAATCCATTTTCAGTTGATTTTTGTGTATGCTGTAGGATAAGGGTCCAATTTCAATCTTTTTCATGCCTGCAATATGTGATAGCATGGACGAACCGTGAGGATCTTATTCTAAATGAAATATGCCAGCCCCAGAAAAACAGATACCACATGATTCCGCTTGTGTGACGTATCTAAACTAGACTCATGGGAGCAAAGGACAGAACTGTGGTTTCCAGGGGTTGAGGAGAAAGGCTAATCCATGTGTATAAAATTTCAGTTATGCAAGATGAATATGTTCTAGAGATCTATGTACAACATTGTGCCTATAGATAACAATATGGCATTGCATACTTAAAAATCTGTTAAAAAGGAAGATCTCATGTTGTGTTTTGGCCACAATGAAATAACAAAAAAGGTGGACATTTTTTAAAAGCAGTACAAGCATATAAAGAGATATTTCAAAAGCTGTGGGTTATTATTTTTTTAGCTTTAGCATGTCCTTTTTATGTAAATAAGATATTGCTTGTAGTTGCAATGACTACACCTTATTCTAATCTCTATAAACTTATTCTAATGACTAGATCATATTAGTAAATATTTAATAACTTTTACAAGAAATGTGAAAGAAACCTTGAACAAATTTATGATATAATGAAGAATATGGAGAAAGTTTAAATCGATAACGTTTCAGAGAGGTCTGGAGAAAGCCAGATGGCCTGATGTCGTTGCTCTACATGAAAAGAAGGCAGAACTCAAGTCCACAGAACTGGATGATTGTAAAAGGTGGCAGACTATGATGCGTGATGGGAGAAAGCAGCAGAGAATTCAAAGGGGAAAGGAAATGAATTAGCAGTTTAACTAAATAGGGTCTTTGAGGACCAGAGATCTCTAAAAGGAATTTTTAAAGACTACCTTCTTTATAGTATTTTGCTCAGTGCTAGCCCCCATCTCTGGCTCCCCACAAAATCCTTAGTGAGGTCCACATGACACTCAGATGCTTTCAATGCTTTCTCACAGTTGAACCTGAACACATGTTGAGTTCTCCTTTAAGTGTGGTGAAAATAGAAGTCCCCCAAAGGGAACAATACCTGGGTTATATTTTGAGGACTCCCCGGGGATTTGTGCGTCAAGGTGCAGCTCTTAGCACTATTTTGGATTAAACTACCATGATGAATTTGAGACAAGAGTGTTTCCTCACTATGGTTGCCAAATGACAGACCATGATGGTTGTTGGCATATGCCTTCATAGAAGATGGACGTTATGAGATGAGCAGTTGTAAAGCGTACAGTTTAATAGTGAAGGAGTCAAATGAGGTGCTAAATACATGTACCAGTCCACATATTTGAATGAGAGGATTAAGCAATATCATCTGATGTTTTAGGCTAGTAATGGATACGTAATTGAGCCACAACATTTAGCCAATTTCCTACGATATAGAAACTTTTCCAGGATTTACTAAGATGTCCACAGCAGAGGTTATCTGTGGAGGTAGAATTCCTTGGAGAAAGTGCTCTGTTGGGTGATTTGGTCATCAATCAAGTATTAGAATGATTTGTTGAGGTAAAAAGCTACAAGAAAGTAGAGAAATGTATGAATAGTGTAATCCCAGTGACATGAGAAGAACATTTTGCTTTGTGGTTAGAATACGCCAGTGAAACGCTCAGGAGTGGCAGGTGCAAAGTAGAGAGACTTGAAAGAGGTGACAAAATCATTTGCAAGACCACGGCTAGGAATTACATAAGGTGGACATGTCTCTGTTTTGGTGGCAGAATATTATAAAGTGGAAAGTAGCTGGGATTTAGATGACAAAATTCTGATCATAAGGCAAAAAGACAAGTAATAAAAGACTTCTACATATATTTTAAAGCTCAAGAGACTTTGTAATAAGCCCTTTGATAAGATGACATGGAGAAAACATTGAAGCCACTCAGAGATAGTCACTTCAAGAGCAATTTATAAACTAGCCTTCCTGGGCAGAGATTGAATTCACTAAAAACCAAAATTTTCCTCTTGTATCTGTCTTCTAGTAAAGGTGATTCAGGAGGAAGAAAATTAGAGATAAGAATGCCACCCCGGGTAGATAAAAAGGGATAGGTGACTGGAAACTCTAATTGTCAGTTCAAAATCCCTCTGTGGATTCCTGTCACGTGGCTCAGCTTCCTGGGGTCACTCGTGCTGGAGAACAGGAAGAAACTGGCCTCCAGAACTCACCCTGAGCACTGGACTTGCCCACTAACTTAATTCTGCTCTGGTTGTTGTCCTACATAAAGCAGATATGACCACCTGAGACGTGAAGAAGCAAATTTTGGAAATAAAAACAGTGGACTTTCAAGACTCTAGGAACGAGAAACAGCCATTCATTTTGGTTGTTTTAAGGGTATAAATCATATTCTTGTTCTAGATAAATTAAGTTCATGAAATGAGAGGGGTTTGAAAGTAAGGCGGAGACGCCAGTCTTAGGGACTGAAGACGGAGGAGGGTCTGTGCAAAGTTGTTTCCCGAGGCGGGCTCTGAGGACGAAAGGTGGGAAGCAGGTCAGCATTGAACTTCCAAGTTCATTTCTAAACCATCCTATTTGTAGCAATAATAATTTCGCGTCTCTGAACTTAGGATAAACCCACTGACCTCTGCTGACACAAGTGTAACTTTGCCTGACTCTGCCGAGAGAACAAGTCCAGAGTCACGAGAAGAGACTTTCTTCACAGCTAAGTCATCAGCCTGGGATCCGAAACACCACCCAGAACAGGACTTTGAGAAGGCCCCTTTATCCCTTAGTTGGAAGAGGACTTTAAGCCACTAGTCAATGGAGCCCTGGGTATCACAAGTAAATCCTGGTGTTGTCTTCTCCTTTGGGTGATTTTTTGGAGGGTTATGCAGATAGTCTTTGTGGGAAATACATAAATGAGGAAGAAAGAATGTTATTCACCAGGGTTGAGGGTGGTAGAAAGTGCTAGGCTGACTGGCTGGTATTCCACCTGTGTGAGCAGAGGTCTAGAGTGCGCATCCTGGGGATCAGAACACAGTGGGGAATGTGATATATCAGAGAAACGGGCATTGAAAAGGCAGCAGAAAAAGCAAAATCGAGCAAGGAGAAAATCCTAGGTTGGAAGTGTGGCTGAAGAGAGACTTAGAAGAAAATACACATTTCTAATTAAATGCTTAAGTTGTTTGCAGTGGCAGGTTGAAAGTAAAAATTCTTTTTTCCTCAAAATCCCAATTGCTCACTAATGATTTTGATGTGAATTTTTTTTTTTTATGCTCAGTGGAAAAAGTAGCAATTCCAACTTTCGGTTTGATGGGGGCAAGAAGAGACATTGCATGCACAGCCAGCCACATGTGTCAAACCATGTAGCACAGGAAGGATGAAACAGGCTTTATTCTCCAGGGTGTTAAAGGTCATGCAAGAGTTCACTTTGAATTCCATATTTGTTAATGTTATTCCATGACGATTCTAAAGCTGCTGCAAATTTTGCCTCTTTCAGGAGCATCTATTCTGGCGCTTTGCACATACTGGCATCATTTTATTAACTGATCCCAGAAGAATGAAAATTAAAAGAGCAGAACATATATCTGAATAAAACACCCGTATCTTTTATGCACTTTTTTCATGCTGATCAGCATTTTTCCACAGACTTAAAATTTTGACTAGTTTATAAAAATGAGGATTTTCTGACATGGCTCAGTACTGCCTGTATAATTATTGGATATTTGAACGAAGCCAAATCTTACCCTTGGTGCCACCAAAAGCCAGCTTTGAAATTCATTTTGGACCTTACTCCCAACTCAGATGCTCAAACTGTGTTTGATTCTCCCACGTTTACTTCTAGAAACTCGGTTGTGTTTCCTTTCACGATTAATCCACAATCAATCTGGAATTGACTTTGTGTATGGTGTGAATTTAAGGTCAAGTTTTTTGTTTTATTTTTCCATATGGATGTCCAGTTTTCCCTTTGTCCACTGAACTGCAAGGCCCCCATTGTTACAAATCAGGTGATTACGTATGTGTGAGTCTTCTTGTGTATTCTCTCTTATTTTATGTAGATCCGTTTGTCTGTCCACACACCAGTGCCACAATGGCTTAAGTTTTGAGGACTAAATATAAATTTAGATTTTTTTTGTAGAGTAAATCCTTCTGCTTTGTCCTTCTTCATGATTGCCTTGTCAATTCTCTCCCTTTGTGAGTTTCCACTTAAATTTTACCATGAAGTCAACTTATCAATACGCACAGAATAACCTGCTGGGATTATAATGTTTTCTATTTGTCTTTACTTTTCAGTAGTTTTATTCTGATGTGCCTATCTTTGGTTTTAGTTTTATTTCTATTTATTCTGTTTAGGTTTCAGAGCTTTTTGAATAATGATTCTGCCCCATTCTTTTTCTTCTCCATCTCATACTCCATTTAAATATATGTGAGAAAGTTTCACTCATGTCTTTTTCTCCTACACATCTTCAATATTTCTATTTCTTTTTGTCTCTGCTTCAATCTACATACTTTCAATTGCTCTTCTCTCCAGTTCACTAATTCTGCCTTTTACTCTTTAATTGTTGTTAAGGCCAGATTATCAGATCTTTATGTCTTCATGGGATTATCAGATATCCAAAGGCTTTGAAAAAAATGGTTTTTCCCAGCTTTTCTAATTGTGCTCAGCAAGAATGT